TGCTGACCATCGAGATGAAGCAGTGTGGAGTGCCTCTCAGTGCGCTGGGCGGTGCGTTTGGCAACGCCATTAGCCTAAATGTCATGGAACGTCTTCTCTGCCGGGTCCTACCAGCCTGTGGCCTTTCCGCGCCACTGCCAGACTTTTGGTCCGAGCTCGGACGAGACGTTCGCTCCAAGAAGGCGTGGCAGAAGATCACCCGTCGTAGGGGTTTCCGTTGGTGTGAAGAAAGCTCGGCCTCTATATCGCCCGAGCCATGAGCAGCTCTTATCTACGTGCCTGAGTGCTGAAACATGCACAGGCTGTTTACCGACTTCAGAACCGTGGTCTGGATGCTTCCCGGTTGTTTTGTTTATAGTTGCACTCCGTCGATGCTATGCATGTATGCAAATCTGCCCGGGTCCGATTGTTACATTTGCACAGAGTGCACAGCACACAGACCATGTGTCAAGATGTGGAGGTGAGTTGCTTGCTGTCCACGGCAAACAAGTGTACCGATCTGCCCCGGTCCGATTGTTATAGTTGCATAGAATCCATGGTATGCAACTATGCACACTTGGATTGCAAAAAAAGCTAAACATGTAAAAATCCTCGCTGTCTCCGACTTTCGAACCCTAGCACAGCAGCTTCTTGAAGGATCCTCACCCGGCCGCAAGAGCGTCCCATTGCCATGACAGCTCCAACAGACTCTGCAACGGAGCGCAAGTCGGGCTCTGACCTCAGGATCAGATTTCTAATGAGGCTATGTACCTAAAGTCTATCGGCATTGTCAGCAGCAGGCAAGACCATCACGATGGCGGATGTGGCCGATGGCACTACTTGGTCCTCGGTTCACGCCGAGACCTTCTTGAAGGCATGCGTGCTGTTTCGCAAAGGGCCGGAAGGCTTGGTTCTGGCTCATGGAGAGCTCATCAATTTCACCCGAGCCTTGGAGAAGGTCTTGCGCCCGAGTGACGCGAGGCAGGAGCATGGGATGAGACCTTTAACTCAGACTGTGATTATCAGAGTGCCCGAACAGGCACCGGGTGTTTACCACTATCAATATCCTGACCGAGCCAGCGCCTGGTCCGAAAGCCCGTGTCATGGGACAGGGTTGGTCTTTGTTTCTGTGATTTCAAAATCAATCGGTCTCGTTCTCGCCTGCTCTTGAACTACGCAGGACACCGCGAGGACGAATGTCCGATGGTGAATTGGAGGACAAGAAGGGGCACTTGGGCGCACATGGATCCGACCGAGCTGGGCCAGTACCTGGACTGCTTCCACAAGGCAGGCTTTTATCTGTTATTCCTGTCGGAGAGTTTTCACGCTCGTTCTGCAATGCTTTGGTCAAGGGTTCCAGCCTGGTGGCTTCGCGATATCCGCTAAGTGGTGTGGGATTCAGGCTTTCAATTTCGGATCGAGGAGGAGACTTGCCTTTGGTTTACAATGACTGAGTTCTGGTGTTGCTGTCTGGGGAATGTCTGGAGCACACGGATTGAGATAGTCGCCTTAGGGCTAGAAGCACGGTTTGGGGTCTATGTTGGGTGGCGAGCTTTTAGCAAACAAGTTATAGATATTCGGCGAATCATCAGATACGTGTTTGCAATGCTTGCGGTTTGGACTAGTTTCTGGAACGCTTGGGAGTCAGAGATCTGCAGCATATTCTTCAAGACAGCTTTCGAGGTGCCGTGTGTGTGTGTGTGTGTGTGTATTTCACTTAAGACTTAAGGTTTGTAATCGCAGGTGCAGTGTAGGGTTGGGTTGGGTTGTGTGTGTGAGAGGAGTGTGAGTGTGTGTGTGTGTGTGTGTGTGTGTGTGCGCGCATGTGTGTGCGCACGTGTGTGTGTGTGTGTGTGTGTGTGTTTCACTTAAGGTTTGCAATCACAGGTCCAGTGTAGGGTTGGGTTGTGTGTGTGTGTGCGTGTTTTTCGCTCAGAGATTCACTTGGAGGTGCAGTCAGTGTAGGGTTGGGTTGTGTGTGTGTGTGCGCGTGTTTCATTCAGAGATTCACTTGGAGGTGCAGTGTAGGGTTGGGCCGTGTGTGCGTGCACGTGTTTCACTCAGGGATTCACTTGGAGGTGTAGGGCAGGGTTGGGTTGTGTGTGTGCGCGCGCGCGTGCGTCTGTGTGTGTGTGTTTCAGATTCACTTGGAGGTGCAGTATAGGGTTGGGTTGCAGTTGTGTGTGTGTGTGTGTGCGCGGGTTTCACTCAGGGATTCACTTGGAGGTGCAGTGTACGGTTGGGTTGAGGTCGAGTGCAGGCATATCTTGCTTCAGTATTCGGAACGAGTGAGGGTCAGGACGTTATGACGCTCCCTCGTCCAGCAGAAAAAAAGCGGCCACAAGATCAATGAAGCATTGGCCGTCCATGGCACCACATGCACTATGAACACGGCAGGTTGCAACCTGGGCGAAGGAAGAAGGGATTACGGCATGTGGCGCTGCATGATGCATTCGGCCTGCATGCGGTTTTTGCCCACTGACTGTGATAGCGCTGCATGATGTCTGTCCGATGTAATGTCCCTGCGAGATCGAGACGTATCATGCAGTGCATTGCGTTGCAATCTGGTTGTTTGATCTTCACTTGCACATGCATTCGGCCTGCATGCGGTCTTTGCCCACTGTGATAGCGCTGCATGATGTCTGTCCGAAGTACTGGTTTCAATGTCCCTGCGAGATGGAGACGTATCATGTAGTGCATTGCGTTGCAATCTGGTTGTTTTATCTTCACTTGCACATGCATTCGGCCTGCATGCGGTCTTTGCCCATTGTGATAGAGCGGCCATTCCATATCACACAATGCGACGGTCCGTTTGGCATGCAGCGAGTGCAGCGGTAAATAAGCATGAATGCCACGGCTTCTGTACGACGTGCTACTGCTGCCTGAAAGCACCTTGAACGGAGCATGCTTTGAATTCACGAAATTCCGGTCTTCGCATCTGAGGCGTGAACTCCCGAGCCCGAACAAATCTAGATCTTCCGTGTTGTCCAACTGACTGTGCCCTCCCATTCTGCCTTGACCCCGACATGGTTCCAACCCACAGGCTTGCGAGACAGATGAGCCGATCAGGGAGAATTTGTCCGAGGAGGAGTACGCAGCAGCAGCGGCAGCTGCGCCCGGTGACGCGGCACCGGATGATGCCCGAGATGCTGCCTGATCTTGGAGTCCGACATCTCAGTCCGAGGCGGCGTGGAATCTGGACGTGATCCTTAGATCGTCTGAGGTGCCGGTTTGGTGCTGTGTGATCTCAGTCCGAGGCATGCACGCTGGACGTGATCTCTTTTATAAATTAAATTGTTGGCAGGCTGCTACAACAGCGTCTCGTCCATGCTGATAATGTTTTTGCAAAGGACAAAGGTTGTCTAGCGAAGCCAAGCAGTTTTTGCAATACTGTTTGTAATCTGCAGAATCAGAAGTGTGAAAGTGCCGCTGTATTATTGCTGAAGCCCAAGGCTTTAGGAGGGGCCTCCTGGAGGAGGAGGCTTTAACAGCAGCACCTGTCCGAGGGAGCGCGTCTAGGCCATGAACAAGCTCTTTGCGGTACAGCAAGCTGTGGACTTCTTGAAGCGGAGGAAGAGCCGGGTGCGCTCTTGGCCCGAGGGGTTTACGTGTGCCATGGCTCAGAAAGCTTCCTGGCTTGAAGTCGCTTTTCAGAGCTGTGACAGAGAGAACTTCCTGAATAACTCGAGGTTGGCACCTTCTACTTTGCGTCCGAAGTCCAGCTGAGGGAGTCTGCCAAGCTCGTTTTGACAGAGGACCGCTCTAAGGGGTTGTCTTGCTGAGGCGCTGCCAGGATCAGAAGTCAGTCTGCTCGAGCATCGTGTTAGGAGTGTGGTGGTGCTCTGGACATCACGAGCCTCAAAGCAGGGCTGAACACGAGGACGCGTACAAGACTGCGTCCGAGGCAGCGAACTCTTTGCCGTTTAGCTTGGGTGCGAGGCTTTCAAGGCAGGGGGAGGGTAATGAGGTATAGCGGTCACTGCTTTGAAAAGCATTTTTCCGAAGCCCCTGAGATACAAGGCTGGGAATGGCAAGGAAGCACGGCAGGTGGTGCGAATCTTGCATAGAGTGAGTCCTTGAAACCGCTCTGCCAGGTCCGAACGAGCGGGTTCCTGCACAAGCGTGTTTTCCGAGAAGATCCGATCCTGAAGGAGGAGAAGCAGAACCCGAGGCCAAGACAGCGTTTGAGAATCGCAAAAACTTTATTCAGCATTCGATCAGTCATGTCGATCTGTCACCGAATGCGAATTTCCACAATTGTCAATGCCTGAGGCTGTGAGGCTCCTGGGTGAGCAGCGTTTTCGTCTGGACTAGTTGTGGGCGTGGCGGCAGGTCCGCCCGAGCTTGGTACCAGTGGAAACAGCGTCTTCGAGGCGATGGAGCTCGCTTGTCTTACAGATTCCACGATTCAGAAGAGTGAGATCCTGTAGCTGTTTGCCAGGTGTGTCGGATCTGATGCTCACCATCGAGATGAAACAGTGCGGGGTGCCTCGCAACGGCGTGGTGAGCGGTGCATTTGGCAACGCCATTAGCCTAAATGTTATGGAACGTCTTCTCTGCCGGGTCCCACCAGCCTGTGGCCTTTCCGTGCCACTGGTAGATTTTTCGTAGACTCAGCATTGTGATGAGAGTCGTTTGTTTCAGACTGTGATTGTATCAGTGCCCGAACAGACACCGGCTACTAACAGAAGTGGAGTCTGACCCGGGACAGCATACAGAGCATGAGTCAAAAGATGTCGGGGGGAGATGCTTTCTGTCCACGGCTGCCTTAGTTGCATGGGATTCATGGTACGCAAGTATGCAACAAAGCCAAATCTGTCTCTGATTTTTGGTATCGAGCCCGAACACAGCAGCTTCTTGAAGGCATCCTCGCCCAGCCGCCTCTTCGCCCCAGTGCCATGACAGCTCCAACAGACTCTGCACAGGAGCGCAAGTCGGGCTCTGACCTCAGGATCAGATTTCTAATGAGGCTATATACCTAAAATCTCTCGGCATTGTCAGCCGCAGGCAAGACCATCACGATGGCGGATGTGGCCGATGGCACTACTTGGACTTCGGTTCAGGCCGAGACCTTCTTGAAGGCATGCGTGCTGTGTCGAAAAGGATCGAAGATCGAGCTCGGGCTCATCCGGAAGCCGGAAGGGTTGGTTCTGGTTCGCGAAGAGCTCATGAATTTCACCCGAGCCTTGGAGAAGCTGTTGCGTCCGAGTGACGCGAGGCAGGAGCATGGGATGAGCCCTTTAACTGAGACTGTGATTGTCGGAGTGCCTGAACAGGCACCGGACGTTTACCACTATCAGAATCCTGACCGAGCCGGCGCCTGGTCCGAAAGCCCACGTCATGGGACAGGGTTTGGTCTCTGTCTGTGTGACACAAAATCAATCGGTCTCGTTCTCGCCTGCTCTTGAACTTCGCAGGACACCACGAGGACGAGTACATGAGCATGGTTTGGTCGGGGGGTATGCCCGATGGTGCATTGGAGGACAAGAAGAACCAGGGCATTTGGGCGCACATGGATCCGACCGAGCCGGGCCAGTACCTGGACTGCTTCCACAAGGCAGGCTTTTATCTGTTATTCCTGTCGGAGAGTCTTCACGCCCGTTCTGCAATGCTTTGGTCAAGGGTTCCAGCCTGGTGGCCTTCGCGATATCCGCTAAGGTGTGGGATTCAGGCTTTCAATTTCGGATCGAGGAGGGATCGAGGAGACTTGCCTTTGGTTTACAATGACTGAGTTCTGGTCTGTTGCTGTCTGAGGAATGTCTGGGGCACGCGCCTTGAGATAGTCGGCTTAGGGCTAAAAGCACGGTTTGAAGGGGTCAATGTTTGGGGGTGTGTTTGTACTAGTTTCGGTTGGGTTGGCGAGCTTTAGCAAGACAGCTGCTGAAGCTAAACATCAGATCCATGTTGGCAAGATTGGGCTCGGTGTTTGGTGGCGGATTGAGGTTTGGACCAGTTTGTGGAACACTTCTGAGAGATCAAGTTGGCATGTATGTGTGTTTCACTCTGGGTTTCACTTGGAGGTGCAGTGTAGGGTTGGGTGAAGAGGTCGGGTCAAGGCGGCATATATATATATATATATATATAGTATATATCTATATATATATATATATATATGCATATTTTCTCATGGCCTGCATTTCAAGTATTCCGAACTGCTGAGTCCGAGCTAGGGGCAGGACCCTTTCATTTCATTTATGACTCTCCATCGCCCAGCGAGTGGAATCGGTTACAAGATCAAATGGTGGCTGTCCATGGCTTCCACACTGCCTTTGACATGCACTATGAACACGGCAGGTTGCAACCTGGGCGAAGGAAGAAGGGATTACGGCATGTGGCGCTGCATGATGCACTCGGCCTGCATGCGGTCTTTGCCCACTGTGATAGCGCTGCATGATGTCTGTCCGAAGTACAGGTTTGAATGTCCCTTCGAGATGGAGACGTATCATGCAGTGCATTGCGTTGCAATCTGGTTGTTTTATCTTCAGTTGCACATGCATTCGGCCTGCATGCGGTCTTTGCCCATTGTGATAGAGCGGCCATTCCATATCACACAATGCGACGGTCCGTTTGGCATGCAGCGAGTGCCGCGGTAAATAAGCATGAATGCCACGGCTTCTGTACGACATGCTACTGCTGCCTGAAAGCACCTTGAACGGAGCATGCTTTGAATTCGCGATTTTCCGGTCCTTTTGGGAAATACTTTCGCATCTGAGGCGTGACCTCCCGGGCCCGAACAAATCTAGATCTTCCGTGTTGTCCAACTGACTGTGCCCTCCCATTCTGCCCTGATCCCGACATGGCTACGGCCCACAGGCTTGCGAGACAGATGGCAGACTTCCCTGGGTGTTCGAGAAGGGCGGGCCGCGTCTCTACGTGTATGGCACGAACATCATCCGCAAGGGCGATGCCGAGATTCCGACCGAGACTGCCGCGAAGCTGAAGAAGATGGGTCTCGCGAGCACCGGCGCGGGCAAGAAGGTGGGCCGAAAAGAGCTTATGAACTTGAAGCTTCGCACGAGTACGGCAAGTTCAGTGTGGAAGAAGACAAGGAAGCCGGCGATTAACGTGAAGAAGTTTCGGCTGAGATGCCCGAGGTGCAAAGCGATCATCGAGCCGATCAGGGAGAACCTGTCCGAGGAGGAGTACGCAGCAGCAGTGGCAGCTGCGTCCGAGGCACCGGATGCTGCCCGAGATGCTGCCTGATCTTGAAGGAGGCCGACATCTCAGTCCGAGGCGGCGTGGAATCTGGACGTGATCCTTAAATCGTCTCAGGTGCCGGTTTGGCGCTGGATGTGTGATCTCAGTCCGAGCCATGCACGCTGGACGTGATTTCTTTTATATTGTCGGCAGGCTGCTACTTTGGTGGGTTTTGCTCTTCCGTACTTATATGTCGAGTTATATGTCGGTCATGTGCAGTTATAAATCATGCAAGGGCATTTATAAGTAGTGTATTGACATAGCAAGTGAGTTGTAAGTCCATACAGAGTTATATTTGCCTTATAACTAATTGAAGGAGTTAAGGCTCCACTTATAAGTCCCAGTCAAGTCCTCGCTAAGTAGTTATAAGTGGGGGTTATAAGTCCGCCGTAAGTCCACTCGCTTGGAGTTATAACTCCGACGCTCCCGCAACGCTATTTCCCGAAAATTGTATCCGTGGGCCAAAAATTGAACCGCCCAAACAAAAAAAAACGTCGCCTGAAGTCCGAAATCCAACCCCCCCAAAACAAAAAAAAAAACGAGCCTCAAGTCGAAAATTTAACCGCACCAAAACCAAAAAAAACGTCGCCTGAAGTCGAAAATTGAACTCCCTCAAACCTAAAAAAAATTAGCCTCAAGTCGAAAATTAATTCACCCAAACTCAAAAAAAACACATACCTGAAGTCGAAAATTTGACACTTGTAAGTTGCAAAAAACATGCCAGCTGAATGCCAAAATCTGCCAGCCCAAGAACCAAACGATGCTACCCGAAACCGGGCCCTTGACCCCAAACCCCAAGCCGTCTTAACCTCAAACCCGAACTCCAAATCCGCTGTGAACGTGGCTCTAAATGAATGCATGGAGGCATCGCCCCGTGCATCTTGTGCAGGAGGCTTCGCCCCTGCATGCACTGCATGGGCATAGCAGCACGCATGACACAGCAAACAGACACACACGAAGCCAGACGCACTGCAGACAGACACATGTGCAAGCCCATGGCATATATAGAACATGCAGGCAAGTTCCTGAACCCTCAGCAGCGGCACAGCTGCTTCGTTGCGGTCGCCATGGACAAGCTCCCGGCGAAGTCCGCGGCGAAGGGAAAAGGAAAAGGAAAGGACCCTGAAGAGAAGGGAAAGGGAAAAGGAGAAGGAAAGGACCCTGAAGAGAAGGGAAAGGGAAAAGGAGAAGGAAAGGACCCTGAAGAGAAGGGAAAGGGAAAAGGAGAAGGAAAGGACCCGGAAGAGAAGGGAAAAGGAAAAGGAGAAGGGAAGGACCTCCAAGAGAAGGGAAAGGGAAAGGAAAAAGGAGAAGGGAAGGACTCCGAAGAGAAGGGTCCGGGAAAAGGAAAAGGGAAGCGCCCAGAAGAGAAGGGTCTTGGAAAAAGCCAAAAAGGAGGGAAGGACCTCGAAGAGAAGGGAAAGGAAAAAGGAAAAGGGAAGTGCCCCGAAGACAAAGGAAAAGGAAAGCACGTCAAAGAAGAGGATCCCTCAGAGAAGGGAAAAGGAAAAGGGGAGGGCCTCCAAGAGGAGGTGAAAGAAGAAGGGAAAGGAAAGGGAAAGGAAAAGGAGGAGGAGGAGGAGGGGCCCATCGTAGACGAAGTCTACGATGGGCCCTACGAGGTCCAGGCGGGGACCCTGACTGCCGCTGAGCGAAGAAGTGAGATCTTTCAGGCCACGGGCATGAGGGTCTCGCTTCGCTTGAGGAACTCGTGGCAGGGGCGAGCCATGGTCGTGACCGGCCCCAAAAGCGGTCACTTGCCGGAGGCCTTGTCCATGGCTTGGCGGTACATAGAAGCCTCAGCCAAGGCAAGGCCCCCGCCAGCGGCCGCTTCGACTCCAGCTCCAGGAGCGAAGCAGGCGAGGCCTCGCCCGCCGCCAGCACCCAGGCCACCCACGGCACCCTGGCCCCAGGCCTTCCCCCAGGCGTGGCAGGCCCCGCCGTTCCAGCCCTCCTTCCCGGCCCAGCCTGCCTTTTTGGGGCAAGGCTTCCTCGCGCCGCCGCCTTTGGTGCCAGGGCTGCCTGATCCCTGGCACCAGGCCGCTCAACGCGCGGAAGCTGCAGCGGCCAGGTCGGAAAAAGCGGCCAGACAAGCAGAAGCAGCCTTGCAGGCAATGCACAAGCTGCAGCTGCGGCCGCCGCCGCCAAAGGCCCGGAGCAGCTCCTCCGACGAGGCCGGGCCTAACACGCATGCAAGTTGTAATCACACATGGCTTCGCCTGTGTGATTACAAGTAAATGTGCAGAAGCACCTGTGGCTTCGCCCTTGGGCTTCTGCACAAGGGTACACTTATATATATATATATATATGTATACATACAAATTTACATATACATCTTTACTCTTCCTTTATACATATATATATATAGAGAGAGACATAGATACGCCTCAAATCCTGCCAACAACCGACAGGCGAGCTCCGCCAGCTCGGAAAGCCCCGCTGCTCCCGCCGCTGTCGAAGTGAAGCCGGCGCCGAAGGCCAAACCATAAACCCCTAAACCCTACACTCTAAACCGTGGGTTCAACCAGGCTCAACCAAAACCCCCCTATATATAATAAGCCTAAACCCTAAAACCCTGAAGGTCGGCTCAGACTCGTCCGAGAGCTCAGAAGCTGAGGAAGCCCCGCCGGGCAAGGTGCAGGCGAAAAAGGAGGCAGAGGAGGAAGAGGAGGCCGGGCCCTAAACCTTAAATCCAATATTCCATCCTTAAACCCTGAAGGTGGCCAAAGCCGCACCTGCGGGGCAAGATCTACCGATGAAAGAGGAGGAGGAGGCCCGTTTTTATAAGCCCTAAACTTATAAAATATAATTAGGGAGAAACCCTGAACCCAAAAAAAGCCTAAGCCTTAACAACATGCAGGTGGACTACGAGGAAACACCGGTGCTGCCGCAGGAGCAGCACCTCTCTCCCACGTCGGAGGCTGGCCCCGGCGTTGAAGAGGAGGAGGAGCCTCCCGTGCCCGATGGCGACACCAAGGTGGACGAGGAGGACTTGCCCTTACCGGGCATAGAGTCCAAGAGCAAGGGCCCTTCGCCTTTGTATCCTCGTAGCTGGCCTGCCCCACCTCTCAAGAAACCGAGGGAAGGCTAGAGAGCGTGAGTCTGCAGGCAAGAGACCTGGAGCAGCTCTATAGGCGAGGCTTCGCCCGCCCGCGTGTGCATGCACGCAGCACGCCATGCATGCACAGCCATGGAAAACAGGGCTCAACTTTCTATGCACGCATGCATGCCACACATCTGCATGTTCTGTGTGAGCGAGGAATTGGTGATTCGATGTTTTGAGCTCTTATCGGCTCGTATACAGTTGAAGCAGACAAAAGCAGAAACCCTTTTGCACA